CCTGGCAAAAGGCAGCTCCAAGCAACAATGTGAAGAGGGGAAAATAAAATAGCCAGACTGAATATGCTATCCATCTGGACAGAAATTCCCGTCATTCAGATCCTGAGCATTAGTAAATGTCATTTGCTGAGTCCTCCCTAAGGACTCTTACTGTCACATCTCTTCACCACTTTCCCAGTGGAAGTTCCTAGTGCAGAGCATGAACATTTGTGCACGGGATACTCCTGCCAAATAAACTTTCAGGGTTCAGCAAAAAAATTTACTTGGGAGGAGGAGCTTACCTGCTGCCCATGGAGAGACGATTGCCCCCTTTCTCCTTCCTGCTTTTCCCAGAAGATGCTCTTCTGAGTGTGACCCTATGGATGATGAACAAGTCAGTGAGGAGGACAAGGAAGAACTGGATGCAACTTGAAGATATGGAGAAGACACATGAGAAGAAGTGCCTATGGAAGGGATCCCAGGACAATGAAAAGGATGTGTCCCCATCACATACAACTCTTTTTTAGCATGAGCTTTTGTAGACTTGAGTCTGCTTCCTCAGATGCATGGGGACTCAAAGAGGTAGACTCAAGTCTATGAAAGCTCACACTACCAGCTTCTTTCTTTCAGTTAGGAGTTTATTGTATGTAGTTTTCAGCCCAATCCATGCATGGGATGGGATTGGGCTGGAATGGGGAAAAATGGGTTTTACTGCACATGAAATTGCTGCTGCACTGCCGGCTGACCATCACACCATCCCTGATCCGGTCTCTGGTACGGAGTAGTACCAAAATTGGTTGGCAGAGGCCGGATTGGGGACAGGTGATGGTTGGCCAACAGCCAGCAGCAATTTCATGTTCAGTAAAACCTGTTTTTCCCCTTTCCAGTCCGATCCCACCCTGAGCACAGATCGGGCTGAAAACTGCATGCGATAAACTCCTTAGTCTCAAAGGTGCTACAAAATCCTTTTGCATGCTGATTTTCCAAACTAACATGGTTATGTCTTTGAATTCTAATTCCTTTTTTATTTTGCAAGAACCTCCTTCAACAACTCACCCCAAATCCAGGAACTTTCGCCGAGTTTTCTTGTCAAGCCCGATGGTGGGGCTTGCAGGTTCTGGTGGACTTGTGTCCCGGCTGTCATCTGGAAAGGAAAGGAAGGCAGTGGGTTGTTGGAGGGCTGAAGAAAACCAGTCTTATATTTAAAACAGGGGTGGGAAAATGCTTGAGGCCTGGGATCAATTCTCCCCTAGATCTGCCATCAGGCCATATGCCCTTCCAGCAAATCCAAATACCCCTGTTTCCTCTGCAATACTTCTCAAAATAGTGACAGAAATTGGTGTCACTATTGCCATTTAAAACAGAGGTATTTGGGGACAGTACAGATTTCTAGGTTGCTTGTGCGAGTGGAGTGGGGTTATTTTGTTTGTTTTCATGCATCTGGGAGGGGGCTTTTTGTATAGCTTTGGAGCAAAAATGTGCTTGAACATTATACCATTTTTTAAAAAAAACTGGGGATTCAGGGGACTGCTTAGTGGCTTCATATAACAAGGATGAATGCTGAGAGAAGGCTGAGGGTTACCCCAACCCATTTCCCACCACCTTCAGAGTTTTGTGCCTTGCACTACCCATGTTATTGTACCCAGAATCAGTTCCAGTTTTGCAGTAAAAGGGCTACCTTGCATCCCCCAAAAGTGTATTCTCTCACCCACATAGCCTCAAAACAGAAGTGTGTCCCCTGATATGCCTCCATTTTGTGGCCATTTTGATGGATTTATGTAATGGAAGGCTCTTGTTATAATCACAGGATGGTGGTTACTTTGCCACCCTCTGCTTTCAGAATCTCCCAACTTCCAGGAGAAACACAGTAAGTTCTTTCAAAATGAGAAAGTACATTTAAATTTAATTTGGCACCAATAGTTCCATGGAGAAATTGATAGTGGATGTTGTTGCTTTGCATTCTGGAATAAGAGTAGTCAACATGTCTTTTTTCTTTTCTTTTTATGATGATGCATTGTACATGGTACAGCCGTCCCTTTGCATTTGCAGCTTTGACTTTTGTGGAGTTGATTATTTGTGGATTTGATTAATATGGTCTCTCTAGGAATCCCTACGTTCTCCTATGCAACTGCTGCATATTGTCCATAGTGTTACACAGGAGGACTTAAGAGATTCCTAAAGAAAACACTTCTCTAGGGATCTGTAGATCCTCCAGCATGATTCTATAGTCAACCTCTGTCAAATGTTGACCACAGAGCTGCACTGGAGGACCTGGAGATCTCTAGAGAGGTCAACAAAATAATGGTAGTTTATTTGTGTTTTTTCCACTTTCATGGTGGTCCTGTGCCCTTAATTCCAGCAAATGTGGAGGGCCCTGTGTGTAGTATTTTGCAATAAATTAACCTTAAAAAGCAAAAGGGGAAAAAAGTAATGCTCCCAAGCTCTGACGTCCACCTTGGTAGAGCTATAATTAGATCAGAGATCTCATAGGACTACCTGAGAGGAACATCCAGCAACATCCCAGCTTGTGGTGGCAAGACACATGGTTTCCTCATCCCCACAACCCAGTCCCCCTTTGCCAGCAATTACCTTCACTGTGCCGCTCTCTGCGTGCATAGATGGGCGAACTGTCAGAGCTGGGGCAAGACTTGGGAGACGAACTGGTTGGGGTGCTGCCTAAGGCTTCCTGGGAGGAGGTGTTGGTCAGGGGTCGGTAACGGATGAGAGGCGATGAAGGCTGCTCCTCCTGCTCCAGGGACCTCCGGACCGTTGAGGTGTCGAAAGAGAACTCCCCAGTGCGAGCGAAGGGTGAGGAACCTGAGAGGGGTGAAGAAGCCTGGAAGGAGCCATGGAGAGGGGACCTCAGGCGATGGAGTGGGCTTCCACAGGTATCGCCCCCCTGCAGGGAAAAAAAGCAGAGAACAAGTAGAAAGCTGCCACAGTTATCCCAGCAAAAACAGAGCTTTGGAAATGTAATCTTGTGGCCTCTCAGAGGTCAAGTCACTTTTCCAAGTTCTAGTTTACTGGTTGACACATGCACATTAACACGAACCAAGATGCCCCCTCAGTAGACACACAGGAGGCGATCTTGTTGGCTACTTTGAACAACAGTGGGTCCTTGGTATCAGCTGGTGTTTGGTTCCAGGAACCCCCCAGGAATGATGATGATAATGATAACGATAACAATGACAATGACAACAATAACAATAAAAAATAAATCACCATCATCATCATCACCACCATCCACGGATGGTCCTGGAACCTGGAAATTGTTGTTGTTCCCTGCCTTGATCTATGGGGAGAGGCAGGTAAGAAATTACTATTATTATTTCTTACAGCCTCCCCCCATGGATGGAGGCAAGGAACAACAACAACAATTAGCAAACAAACAGTCTCAGTTAAAACTCACATCAGATTAAAAGGACAAATGAAAAGTACACATATTAAACCAATCCACATCTAAAATTAATCATTTAAAATTCAAAATTTAAAAAAATCATCTGGATAAGCCTGCTGGAAGAGACCGATCTTTAATGCCCTTTTAAATTCAGACAGCGTATTCAGCTGTCGAATCTCATCTGGCAGGTCATTCCACAGTCTAAAGGTGGCTGAAGAAAAATCCAAAATTTGTGGATGCTCAAGTCTCATTAAATAATAATAATAATAATAATAATAATAATAATAATAATAATAATAATAATAATAATAATAATAATAATAATTTTTAAATTTTAAATTTGAATGTGTAATGTTTTTAATTTTTTGAAATGGTTTAATTGCTTTTTTAAACTTTGCATTTTTAATGCTTTGTGTTGTTTTAACTTGGACTGTTTTAATTTTTTTTTAGCTGCCTTCAGTCCCTGTACCAGGAGGAAGGTGGGATATAAACAAACAAACAAATATCATAATAATAAATATTATGACAGAGTAAAATGGTGTCTCTTATATACAATGGCAAAGTATTGGAATTTATTATCTTTTTGGAATATTTTCAAGCTGTGGATGATTGAATCCGTGAATAAAGAATCCATGGATATGGAGGGCTGGTTGTATAATGGAATAGATGGTAGATGTGATGGCAGCAGAATTCAAAATGATGTAGCTGTGGTGGGAAGCAGAGAAGCCACTCTGCTGATAGAGGAAGCTGATGGGTTCCCATTCAGATTTTCTCAACAGTGTCTGGGTTTCAGAGGAATCGTTGAACCTAAAGGCACAGTGGAAAAGTTCCCTTGGGAAATCACCTCTTGCAAAATCACCTGTGGGACAGGTAATGTCCCAAAGCAGCCTTCCCAGAGCACCTTTAGTATCAGAGTCCATACAGTGCAGAGATATTCTGACTTAAAGGAAAGGAAGCTTGTCATCCACTCTATCAACAATGATGTTTCAAATTTAAATCATGACAGTCAGCTCTCCATTTGTGGGCTTCATTTTGCAGATCTCATTATTCTCAGAGTATTTGCTCCTGCCTCTGCTGTTGGCCCTGTGCCATTTTTAATAGGATTGCAAGCCTCGTGAGACAGAGTCTGCAAACAAGATTTGGAAGCCCCTATTTAAAACAGTGCAAGGCAGCAATAGCAGCGATGGCTAGCCCCACCAGTCACCTTTTTCTGTCTTGCAAAGCAACCCCGCTGCCCCAAAGGCATCTGGATCTGTGAATCCATGAATCACACTTTTTTTTGTGTTAAATATAATTGGTGTGTGTGTTTGTGTTAGAGTTTTTTGTTTTTCCCACTTTGAGGTCCTGTGTCCCTAACCCCAGTGAATGTGGAGGGCTGACAGTAATTATTATTATTCTTTGAAGCTTTACTGCCAGGCAGAAGGAGAAGAACTTGTGGGTCATTGTGCCCCAAAATGCAGAAACAACTTGATCAGCTTTGAGTGTTATGTGCCTTGTCTTAGGGTGCATCTGCGCTGAAGAAATAATGCAGTTTGACACCACTTTAAGTGCTGCAGCTCTTAGAAACTTGGGATGTGTAGTTTTACAAGGTCTTTAGCCTTCCGTGCCAAAGAGTGCATAGAGAGCAAGTGTGGTGTAGTGGTTTGAGCATTGGACTAGGACTCTGGAGAGCAGGGTTCAAATCCCCGCTCGGGCATGGAAACCCACTGGATGATCTTGGGTAAGTCACACTTTCTCAGCCTCAGAGGATGGCAGTGGCAATCCTCTGAAGAAACATACCAAGAAAACGTCATGATAAGGTTTGCCCTAGGAGTTGGAAATAACTTGAAGACACTTAACCACAACAACAACAAGCCAAAGAGCACTAGTGCCTCACAAAACTACAAGTCCCAAGATTCGGTAGGATGGATCCACAGCAGTTAAAGTGGTGTCAAATTGTGTTATTTCTACAGTGCAGAGACACCGGAGATTATCGCTTGGCTTTTTAAACTGGTTTACCGTTATCCAGTTTAATCTTAATTCGGGCGGCATCCTGATCTTATCAGATTTTTTTGCTGCCAAATTTGCCACCC